ATATCCTTGAGATAGGGAGTCATAGTGGCCACTTAACTGTGTTCGCAAGATAGAGAGTCATAGTGGTAATTTTACTGCTATCCTCGAGTTAGGGAATCATAGTGGTCATTTCACTGAGTTCTTCAAGATAGGGAGTCATAGTGGTCATTTCACTGAGTTCTTCAAGATAGGGAGTCATAGTTGCCATTTCACTGAGTTCTTCAAGATAGGGAGTCATAGTGGTCATTTCACTGAGTTCTTCAAGATAGGGAGTCATATTGGCCATTTCACTGCATTCCTTGAGGTAAGGACTCCTTGAGATAGTCATAGTGGCCACTTAACTGCGCTAACTGCGTTAACTGTGTTCGCAAGACAGAGAGTCATAGTAGTAATTTTACTGCTATCCTCGAGTTAGGGAATCATAGTGATCATTTCACTGAGTTCTTCAAGATAGGGAGTCATAGTGGTCATTTCACTGAGTTCCTCAAGATAGGGAGTCATAGTGGCCATTTCACTGCTATCTTCAAAATAGATAGTCATGGTGGTCATTTTATTGCTATCCTTGAGATAAGAAGTCATAGTGGCCCTTTCACTGTGTTCCTTGAGATAGATAGTCATAGTGGTCATTTTATTGCTATCCTTGAGATAGATAGTCATAGTGGCCATTTCACTGTGTTCCTTGAGATAAGAAGTCATAGTGGCCATTTCACTTCGTTCCTTGAGATAAGAAGTCATAGTGGCCCTTTCACTGCTATCCTTGAGATAGATAGTCATAGTGGTCATTTTATTGCTATCCTTGAGATAGATAGTCATAGTGGCCATTTCACTTCGTTCCTTGAGATAAGAAGTCATAGTGGCCATTTCACTGCTATCCTTGAGATAGATAGTCATAGTGTCCATTTCACTGCGTTCCTTGAGATAGGGAGTCATAGTGGCCATTTCACTGCTATCCTTGAGATAGGGAGTCATAGTGGCCATTTCACTGCTATCCTCGAGATAGGGAGTCATAGTGGCCATTTCACTGCTATCCTCGAGATAGGGAGTCATAGTGGCCATTTCACTGCATTCCTTGAGGTAAGGACTCCTTG